AGATCGTTCCCCTCTCCCAGCCCCAACCCCTCACGCCCCGTACCTAGCAAAACACTCCTCCCGATGCGTATCCAAACAATCCAACGCACACACCCTCCCCCCACACCTCATACACTTAACCCGTCCCCAATACCCACACACATCACAAAAGACGCGTCCGGGTTTCCGTCTATCCTCATACGTATAGCCACCTCTCGCCTCATTATAACTCAACGGATACATATTCAACAGCGCCTCAATCGTAGCTTGGGTGGGTAGAACAGGCACCCGCGATAGTAGGAGGGGATCCGTGTCCCGGGGATGGGGTTTAGGCGAGGGAAGTGTGGTTAGAGAGAGGAAGGGGGGTGAGGAGGGGGGGAGTGGGGGACGGTTGGATTCGAGGTGGGGGGAGGAGGATCCGAGGGCGGGGGTGGCGCTTGTGGATGCGGGGGTGGATGCGGATGCGGTTTGGCGGAGGGGTGTTGATATATTCGGTATATGCGCATTAGGATCTTTTTTTTTATGGCTGCGTTTTGGGGGGTCGACACCGGGCGGCAGTGGTTCTTTTCGTTTATGGCTTCGTTTGCCCGTGCTAGTGAGACCTGGTGTAGACACTTGAGGGGTGGAAATGGCGGGGGATGGAGGGGGTGCATGAGTTGATGTGGTGGGATTGGAATTGGAGTTGGAGTTGGAAGTGGAATTGGAATTAGAGTTGGAGGTCGAGTTTGATGGGAGAGAGGCTAGAGCTTCGTAGTCGGAGAGATAATTTGCGAATGTTTTTTGTGAGGCGAGGATTTTGCGGACGGCGGGGGTTACTTTGTTTTGGGTGACTGTGTTTAAATCATATTAGCATACATCCTCAATGTCTCCTTATCCTTTCCCTACCCCCTGTCCTCTATCCCCTCCCCTTCATCCCATCCCCCAAACACCTAAAAAAATAAAATTCAAACTCACCTCTCCCCTCCACACCCCTCCCCAAAACCCCAATACTAACATCCCTATGATTTTCCCTCTCCAACAACGCCAACTCCCTTAGAACCTTCGCATCTTGTTTCTTAGTCGTCTCATGTCCAGTTCTAATCCCTCCATTTCCATTTCCATTCCCATACCCTCCATTCCCTCCAGACCCAGCCGCAGGACCACGCGCCCGCCGCGCCGATGCCAGTAATCCTATTTGGGGCGTGGCGGCACTCGAAATATCAGGGACGTAGGCCCAGCCGGGGGCGGGTGCGGATTTGGATAGGGATGAGGGGGCTACTTCGAGGACGCCGAAATTCATTGTTTTTGGTGGGGGTTTGTTGGTGAGGAGCGGTGGGTGAGTTTTTCGTGTTTGAGGGGAAGAAAGGGTGAGAGAGAGGAGGGGGGGGGAGGGGGGGGGAGGGGGGTTGGTTGATGAGTGGATGTAGATGGATAGATAGAAGGGGTTTCTTTGGGGGAAAGATGGTTGATGCCGAGGTGAGACGAGGCTGAAGGTGAAGATGAGGTTTTATCTACATATATTGCGATCCGAACCAAAAAGTATATGATTCTTCTCCCCCAAAGAATTACGGAAATGGTTACCTAGGTATGGTTATAATTGTAAAGGCATTGCGCATACTGTATTTTTGCACGATAGTCAAATATAATTCATCGCATCACTGTAATTAATAAAGCATTTCCAGAGCGAGCTCCAAAAAGCTTCTTCGAGTTCCATTTCTGCACACCCCACCCACTATGAAAATATAATAAAATATACTTGGAGATGTTTCTTATTTGCTGTGTTCGCGCAACGATATTCTTCATCTTATCGCATTTCGATATCATACACGAGCCCTATTTGCTTTCCTTTCTTTGCTTTGCTTTGCTTCCCCCACTGCATTCGCGATTCCCTTCCCGCACCATACCATGCCATGCCATTCTTCCCCTCTCCTCCTCTCATATCCCATCCATCCAAGCAAATACCACCCTTTCCCTCATCCCATCCCCCAATTGACATTTACTTCTTCTTCTTCTCCAAATCCGCCAACTTTTCCTCCAGCGACTGAACATACGTATGAACTCTCTGTACCGAATTTTGCAGACTCTGTTATTATCACAATCATGATTAGCCCACATTCTCATCCTCTCCCATCCTCTCTCTCTCATCCTCTTCTTCCCTCTCTTCCCCTCTATTCCCCTCCACAACCAATCACCAAAGCGCGCGCCATCAATCACAAAACACAGTGCTTTAAAAACTCACATAAATATCCTCCGTCAACAACTCATTGCTAACCTTGTATTCCTCCAGAATATAGTAGTAAACCCCTGCACCCGCCAATGTTGAACCGAGTAGGAATCCGGTCAATCTATTCGTGATTTATCGTTAGCATTTGTTCTCATCCCCTCCCTCTCCTCTCCTTCTCCTCTCCTTCTCCCTTTCATCCACTCCTCGCTTCTCTTCTCCCCTCCTCCCCTCTCTCCCTCCTCTCTCAACCCCCCTTCCCCTCAATCCTCCCTCCCTCCCCTCAAAAAACAAAAATAAAAAACAAAAAACAAAACCAAAAAACCACCAGCACTCACCCCCCCCTAAAAGCCCCAATCGGTTTCCTAACCGGCAACACATTCGAATTACCCCCCACCACCGGACCCGTCGCCGCCCTCCTCGCACTCATCGACAAGTTTCTCACTCCCATTCCCAAGATGCGCGAAGCCATCACTACTATATTTCGTATTTTCGTATTTTCGTACTTTTTCTCGAATGCGATATCTCGTTATGTTGTTATATTGTGTATTATTATATGGACAAACAAGTACAGTATGCCGTTCAAAGTTATCAATTGCCTTTGTTGTTATGTTTTGTTATGTTACGTTGTGAGTGTCTGTCTTGTTTCTTTAAGCTTTGTTTGGAAGCTTTCCCCAGCCAGCCGATCAAATAAAATAATTCCTGAGGCGCGAATAATTATTGGCGCAATGCCCCTGCGGAAAAGTGCTTATCATTGCGGGGTTATTTCACTACCTAGGTATATACACCCATTTACAGCACCAACCACTTTCTAGATATTTATTTGGAAAAAAGAGAGAAAGATCAACATAATCCAAACATCAACGTTTATCACGAATAAAAATCGGGTATTTAGTAAACAATTCTCATTTTTGCACATTTACTGTGTTTAACAATTCAAAGAAAAAACCCTGTTATCCGTGGCAATTTAGCTGCAGATAGATGATACAGATGAAACCCCAAATTTTCGAAATTAAATCACAACTCATCGTGGTCATCAGTAGCAGCTGCGGCCTCAGTAGCCTCAGCAACCTTGCTGGAAACGGTCTCCTTAACCTCCCCAGCGGCGCTCTTAACAGACTCGGTAGCCGCTTCTGCTTGCTTGGCCAAAGACTCGGCAATTGGCTTCTCGGCCTCTGGGGAGGCAGCAGCGCTCTCTTCGTAGGTAACGGCAATCTCATGTTGACCGTTCTCCTCAACGAACTTGATCAAGTCCTCGATGCTACGGTTACCACTGTAGGTGACTGGGTTCTTCTTGTCACCAGCCTTGTACAACCTGATGGTTGGGAAACCTTGAACCTCGTCGGGAACATCGTTGAGAGTGGCATCGACCTTGGCGATGGTGACCTTGTCATTGTGACCAGCATCAGCGTAAAGACCAGCGAGGATGTCGTATTTTGGTGCAAGAGCCTTGCAGTGTCCACACCATGGAGCGTAGAATTCAACCAAAACGTCCTTGGTATCATCCAAAACAATCGCATCGTAGTTATGGGCAACAATGATTTGAACTGGGCCTTCTTGCTTCTCTGGGATTGGCTCAGACTTGATGCTTGGCTCAACCTTTCCGTCAATGTATTGTTGGACAAACTTGCTAATGCTAGCTTCGGTGATCTCGGTCTTTTGATCGAAAGGATATTTCTTATTATTGACGGTATCTTGGATAGCAAAGGCAGGGAACACATCAGCCTCGAGGTTCAAGTTACTGGCATGAGCACCGAAAGACTTTGCGTCAATGACTGCGAAGCTGATAGCGCCACGGTGCTTCTCAGCAACAGGCTTAAGTGCCTCAGCGAGAGTAGTTCTCTCCTCTGGGGACTCGGCGAAGATGTATGCCAATGGAATTCCAGTGGCCATGTATCCGGCGTATGTTTCTGGGCCAACTTCACCGATCAATGGGATAGATGCAGTCTTGGCGAACTTCTCAATAACCTCAACGTCGAAAGCATCTGGCAAGATAGCCTTGCCCTCATCGAATGACTTGTAAAGAACAACAGATGGGAAACTAACACCCTCGGCCTTTGCCAAAGCTGCATCATTGCTTGCACCGAAAAGGTAGTCGTCACGAAGTTTCTCGGCGACGGTGCTGAAGGTAACGTTTGAGGTCTTGTCCTCAGCATCAAAGTATGCAACCAAAACTACCTTGTCGGCAGTCTTGAAATCTTCCAATGTGTCCTTGGTTAAGGTAGAAACGGCGGGGAGAGATTGTTTGGTCATATATGAGACAATCCTGAAAATACTTGTTAGCTGTTGAAGTTCTACTGGATAGGAATCTCATAAACATACGCCGGGGCTTTTCGTGCGCCAGAATATGGGGAGACATTCTCTGCGCCACGGAAAACCTTGAGGGTTGGGTAACCTTCAACACCGAAACTTTGGCAGAGGTCGGCTTCTTCTGTGCAATCAATCTTGGCCAAGCCAATCTTCTTCTCCTTCAATGTTGTAGCTGCTTCTTCATACTCAGGGGCCAATGATTTACAATGACCACACCAAGGCGCGAAAACTATCAAGAGATATGAGTTAGTTGGTAATTCACAAGAGACAGATGAGGCAAATGCATTGCGTTGGGGAAACTTACACTCTAAAAGGGCCAAATCATGCTCCTTTACGAAATCTGGGAATGTATCCTTGGTAAGGGAAACAACATCAGAAGCCGAAGCAATGGCGGCTCCCGCAAGAGCCAATGCAACACAGTTGAAAGTACGCATATTGAAGGTATTCTTATTCACGGGCCTATAAGTCAAAGCGTTAATGGAAATGCCAATGTGAAAGTGTGCAACTCTAGGTAATGCGACTGCTAGCAAGCAAGCAAGCAAACCAAACAAAAGGCATAGGATGATTTAGAACTTACGTCTTCTTGAAAATTAATTGTGATGATAGGAAAAAAAGAAGGTGGGTTGGTTGAGAAGATATGTATGAGTATATGAGGAAGAAGAGGAGAAGTGGTCCCTTTATTCAATGATTCGGCTGCTGCTGCTTGTTGAATTTATCAGCCTTCCCGCTAGTGATTAAGATAACAGCGTGTCTTTAGCATTTTGTGTACTGTAGGATGGATTATGATTACAAGTTACCTACCATGGTAATTAATTACTACTACCGGCATACAGCGATATTGTCCCGAAGAGAAACTTTCTTGGATACCAAGACTTATATATTAATTAACACTTCAATTCAGGCTTAATTATTTTAGACCGCCGTTAGAAATCAAGAATTGAGTTAGAGGACAACGAGACAATGAGCTAGGTACTGTGGTTATCATTTGTATCTCATTTGTATATCATTTCTCACGCATTTGTCTGTATGGTATTGAGATATGAGGATAGTTATTTGAGTATCAAAAACCCTAATGTCTAGTAAACCTGTACTCGTAAATGTGACGGGTCTAGCCTAATTATGGTTATAATTGTTCTGAACAAACAGGTTAGTTTTACTTCAAGTACTGTAAGTAGTGGGTTTAAAGATACTTTCTAACCTGATGCTATTCATTGCATTGTATTGCATTGCCTCTTCTCTTTCTGGCCCTATCATAGCAACACACTATTGGTATCTTCATGAATCTACTGTCTACCTAGGTATGAAATCAACATTAAATTACTTGTATTATATATGCAGAATCTGCAGATATATAGAGAACATCAAGACATTGATAATAATTACATATCATAAAATGTCGTGTCAACCCCAGCTGAAAGAGACTTGATATAATAAGTAAGTCAAAGTAAGGGTCGGTTCAGCCCCCTTCCTTCTCTTTGCCTCTTTGCCTCTTTACTTTACTTACAAATCGGTATCGATAACTTTCCCCTAGTATCTGTCTCATATCATGGGAAGCAAGATGCTCTTTATTTGTTCTTCTTGTACAGTAGCTCTAGGGGTATCAAAGTAAGTTGAGTTTGAATTTGAGTGTGTCTTGTGATATGAAACAAAGAAAGAGAAATATATTTTCACTGGTGACTTGGGCTGGCTGGTTTGTTGTTAATTCAAGAAACTGATGTGTGACTTCTAGAGTATAGTCTCTTCACAATTCATTACTTGAGTATGATATGCAGTGATGGCAGTTGTGTTCTATTCTGGAGAGGAACACATGATCATTCTGGACAGTCTATAAACACTGGTTGAGATTTTTTGGGTAATTCTCCTGCTTTTTCATGCTTTTTTGGAGTTGTTTGCTGGGAGAATATCAAAAGGATTTTCTGCTGGTAGGATAGGCAGTGTCTGTCTTTCGAAGACAAAAATGTCTTCTCTAATAGAGAAGTATGGAGAAGATGTGCATCTCTTCTGGTAGGATTTAAAGTCTCTTCCAAAATGAAGGGTATTTCTCCAATAGAGAAGATGTGTTTTGTTTTCCTGGTATGATATAAAGTCTCTTCCGAAATCAAAAGTATATCTATGATAAAGAAGATATACATGTCTCTTCTCCTAGGATGCAAAGGCTCTTCCAATATCAAAAGTATTTCTTCTTCAACAAAAAGAAGATCCACATCTCTTCTCTGGCAGGAGGATACAAAATCTCCTCCAGACCCAAAGATTCCAACTCACAGACAGACAACTCCACAGTCTCCATGATACTCATCATGGTACAAACATCAAATATCAAAGTTGGCCTGTTTGTGAATGTAATTGGAAGTTGGAATAAGATAATGGAGTTTTGTCGGGGTTTTTTTTCCCCTTTAGATTGAAGAAATGAAAAAGGTATATATTCTACTCATAATGACTATGGAATATGGCATTTGAAGAATTGGTGATGAGAAGAACAAGTCATATCAGAAAGGTACCTATTGAAGCATACTTCAAGACTGATTCCAGAACTGATACACCTGTACAGGTATTATCCATCCAGAATTCACATTATATGAGCTCAAGCTGATGCTATACAAAAGTTTCTAGTATCAATTTTGTCTTACTCAAGTTTGAATTAATTTCGTTATGTACATCTTAAGCAGCACCCAATTCTCAACTGCTCAATTCATAGGTACAGTACTATACATACAGATTTTCTGATAGTTGTGTGAGGATGATGGGTATAATGAGGTCTGTTTGGCCAGATCGAGAAGTTACTATCCATCGGCCCTTCTTAATTAGATATAGATATATTTCATATTTTCACCCCTCGATCCTCATGTACTTTCCCTTTCCATTACACTTTTTTCTCATTGGTACCGGCTTCCGTCAATCGATTCAAATGTCTCCTTTCATCTTTCTGTTTGTTCGAGGCCCTGTCTGTTTCTCTACTTGAGTAGTTATCTTCAACCATCTCCTCTTCTCTCACCATCATCTGTAGATCTACAGGTTCTCATAAGCTGAGAATTATCTTTTGGTCAGCTTGAAATCACTTTCTGCCACTTCTTTCTTTTAACCTCAATTTCATATCTGCATACCATTTCTCTAGAGTTTCTCTGGATTGATTACCAGGTAACTCATTCAATCTTTATCTTCAAATTCATCAATAGTCATATCCAGTCGGCATACATCAAATGTATCTACAATGGCAAGTGTTCCACCTGGAAAACAGTCAGTGAGTCGTGAAAGGGGCTTCAGTGGTGTCAGTGCCGGCAACAGTATCAACAGCTCTATCGGTTCCAGTGCCATTCATCCTATGCGACCGAGACCGAGTGTAGGCATATCATCTCCACGAAATGGATCCTCGTTGGGAAGCTTCCAAGATAATAGCACTTCACCCTCACTACCAAAAGGCTTTGAGAGTATGCTAAAAAATACAACCGAGACAGGGGATATTGGTCTTTTCTCTATCAAGCCTTCACGCTTACCTCATACTTCTAATGCACTACCACGACGCGGCAACGGAGGTTACAGCAATAGAGGTTACAGAGACAATGACTTGCAGAGGCCACAACCAACTTTTCAACCGTATGGGGTACCAACTGTTGATGATAGAAGACGACTGCCATCCTATACAAGAAATGATTCTTCGGGTGTCAGGTCAATGTATGATTCTGGCAGTGTCAACTCCGTCAATTCAAGTAATAGAGGTTTCGAGGATCCCGATTATCGATCTTATTCTATGACCCAGACAGCATCCCAATCAGCGTATACTCTTTCTAATCAAAGATCATATGCAAGCCTTCGAAGTCAGCAGGATGGAGCTGCACTCGTCCAACGACCTCGATCTCCATTTGCATACCCAACACGCTTGAGACGACCTGGATTCAGACCTTCTTCTCCGGCCCTCACTGATGGTGGTGGGGTAGACTATAGTCGTCGTGCGGAGATTGATCGAATTCCTTATGTTAGTTTTATCCAATTCTCATTCTGCAACTACCAGCTTGTAAAATTGGTCTCCCGCTGATATTATACCACAGGGAGCTGTTCGTAATGTATCTTCACCAGCTTCATTATACGCCCAGAAGCGAGTACCGCCACCCTTGTCACTGCGACCAGAGGCCAACCGATCAACCCCTTCATTGTTAAGCCAACCCTCGCCGAAGAGACGTACTCCAAGTCCCAACCTAAGGCACGGTAATGGGATTGCCGGGCAAGATTGGCAACGCCGCAACGGCCCAGCATCGATCAACACATCTCCAGCTCGCAGTACACTCAGTCTTGCTTCGACTACAAATTTCGCCCCTACAGGTTCGTCTCAATCTGCAACAAACACACCAGGAAAGCCATCACCTTTGTATTATGACTATACCGAAGACTTCGAAGTGGAAAATCAGAATCGTTCAAACTTGGACCCTCCACCACAGTTTCAGCTGCAGAGAACAATTCATGAAGATCGCCCTTTGAGTTCAGCTCTTTTACCTCTTGCCCATGGCCTTCCATCTAAACTCAACGGAAGCAATAACAATCACCATCGCGCATCATCGTCATCGGCATCAACCGTAATTCGACACCCGATGAGAAATAACAGTGTAGAAAGTACAAATGGCATTCCGAATGGCATTGGTCATGTTCGATCGGCACTTAGTATTGGAGCAAAGGTGGCAGAAGTTTGTGTGCCATCGAATAATGTCCCCGATGACAACAATTCGATCGACATGTCAACTCTAGGGGCCAACGCTCTAGAGTTGAGCTCGCGGGTGTCGAGAGCTTTTGGTCTACCCCCTTCACCATCATTTGAAATCACGATTACACCAGGTTCTGGGGAAATTGAAGCTAATCATACCGAGGCTACGACCGGAGAAGATGTCAGCATACCGGTAGTCCCACAGACGAGACACCAACAACGATCTTCGTCGTTGCCATCTCCACAGTTAGAAGTTTCTCCCACACCCTTTCCGTCAACAAATGATCCTCAAGGAATTACCACGAGTGACAATGCAGGGGAAAGAATGATTCCCACGTCTGAAAATCACTCATTTGGTAATGTTTTGATTGCCAGGAAACATCCCAGTACAAATCCCCTGCCATCAACAAAGGATACAGAGGAGTTCGCAAACGAATCTAACTCTAATTCTGCGCGTGCAAGTAGAGTTAGGTCTAGTGGCTTCTTCACCATTGACACTGGTCTCGATGAACTAGTCGATCTAATGACTACCGATGATGCTAGTCGGCCCACCTTCGGTAATAGTTGCACCGGACCACGAAGAACCCCCATGATGTCACCAACCTTACCTAGAGAGTCTTATTTTGATACTCCTTCGGTGCACCGTACCAGCCCTCCGTTGTCGCCAATCAAGAAAACGGAGAAAATCTTTCTTCAAAGTGTGAATCCTGATAACGGCTTCAGAGATGGGCTCAAGCTCCAAGTCTACGAAGGAAGACTTGAAAAGGGCAAATTACCTACTTATCGGTCATCTGAGCTTCACAACCTTGGTGATCAAGTTCCGAGCAAGATCATGCCCAGATCAGAGTCTCCCATGTTAGCGCCCAAGCCCATCTCGCCAGCAAGGCAATTGAAATTGAAGAATAGCGTGCCACAGCTTATGAAGTCTCTCCCAAAATTACCCGACTCATCAGTTCGTGGATTGGCAGTACCAGGAAAATCCAGTCACTCAGATGCAAATATTCCTTGTCATTTCTCAGAACTTTTGCCTGAGGGGAGAATCAAACCCATTGAAAAGTGTGAAGTTCTAGTGTCATCATCAACTGAGACGTCGGAAACTTATCCTTCTATGGAAAAGGAAAATGCCAAAAAGTCACTAGAGCAAGCCGGATCAATTCATATCTCGACCCAGAAACAGGGGATTCAGCCAATCAACGAAAGCAATGGTTCTCGCCCTTCACCTATGAAATTGAAGCTTAAGATCAGAAATCCACTTTCGGATCAAATATCACAGGCAGAGTCTCAGGATGGAAAACGGGAGGATGCATTCTCTTGGGCTAGTTCACAGGACGATCATTCACCGTTGATGACCCGAGAAGAACATAATGGAGAGCTTAAACCTGTCAAGCTCAAATTGAGACTCACTAGGGCCACAGGCTCAAGTCCTTCGGGAACTGTAAGGATATATAATGGTTCTGAAGATCAATCCAGCAATGACCTAAATATACCACGTCCGAAGGATTTGTTCACACCTTCCACTGGCTTTGACAATATCTTCCGACAAGTTAGTAGACATCTTCACTCACGTAGGCCTAGTGCGAACAGTGACCAACAATTTGGAGATGATGCTATTGAAATGATGCCAAGCCAGCTATCACTAAATGTTCCTAGCTTTGATCTTGGCGTTCCCCTCAGTGGTCCGTCTGAGAATTTACCGAGCCCCACAGATGCACGAAGCTTTTTCTCCGATGACAGCTCTCACCGCAACGGGAGTCATGGTTTACGAAAAAGAATCTCGAACTTTCGAGCTCGCGTTGGTGTGCCGTACGTAGCTCGGAATGGATCATACTCTTGTGATGATATAGTTTGGAGAGATCAACATGGAGGAGTTGGCCATTCCCCTTTAGCTGCCAAATCTGTCGCAGATTTTAATGCCGCGAGAGCCAACTTCGTAGAATCACCCAATCCACGACGTTCAGAGCATAGGTTGCATGCACATCGGCTACGAGCAAAGGTTTCTGAATGGTTTCGTGGAGCGCGAGCTGCCATCTCGGCTCGTGTCAAATCACGAAGTACAACCGGGACTGGTAACGAGAGGTCGAGGGCGAGTGCATGATACTCCTGATATGACCCATTATCTTAATGTGATGATCTTTGGCTTGTACCACTTGTATTGAGCTTGTCATCCAATTTCTTATTGTTGCTTTTTGGGGAAGACACTGGGCTGGCTGGCCGTTTTTGTTGCTTTGTGGCGTTTGGGGGCGTGTAGGGCTGAGATTTGTATGAAAGTGGGGTTTTAGCTCCCTGGAGGGAGGCCAAAATAGATTGAAATGAAGAAATATAATGTTAATGAACCTAATATCGGTATATGATTTCAAGGCTCTGAATTGATCACTTTTGAAGTACAGTATGTGGTTTGGTGTGGTGTATGTGTAAGAGCTAGGAAGGAGTAAGAAGTGAGAAGTGAGAGAAAATGTGCCCAGATCTACGAGTAGATTATTGATAATGATAATGATTGATGAAATGTCGTTTAATCTGATATTTTATTCATTCATTCATTCATTCATAATCTCGATCAATACCTACGATACGATGAATTATTCTACAGTAAGTAGCTTGACCACTGGATTGGATTGTATGTATGTATGTATGTATCTACTCGAGTAGATACTACCTAGATAGTGCATAGTTCGGTTTGGCTAGGTGGGAGATGGCAAATGGCAGATACTGGGATGGTGCTGTGTGAGTTTGGGGAGAAATGTGGGGTTTATAATAGATAGATGGGGTTTATAGTAGATAGATATGAATATAGTAGATGGGTGGGGTTGATAATGGGTGTATATGAAGATAATTTGGACCTGGAGCTGGATCTGGATAGGGACCTGGATAGGGACCTGGACGTGAACGTAGAACGGAACGGGAAAAGAAAACGAAATAGAAATAGAAACAGAAACGGCGTTGGTGAATGTGAAGAGGGTGGAGGGAGGGTATAAGGAAAAAAGAGGTGGGAGGGTGAATGGAGGGGGTGGATAAAAGGGGTGGATAGGTGGATGGAAGAGGGGTGGGAAAAGGGGTGGAAGAAGGGTGGGAGAGGGGTGGGGAGAAGGGGAGGGAGTGAAGGCGATTATGGATAGAGTGGAGTGAAGTCGGTATAGTATTGTATTATTATTGTTATGATTATACCTAGTGTGTTGTTTCATATCATACAGTTATTTATACAGTCTCGTATTGTGAAGTCTTATATTGTGAAGTTTTGTATTGTACCGGTATTTTACTATGTTGTGTTGTGAAGTGAAGTGAATGATATTGAATATATGGAGGAGATATGATTATTCACTCGAGTATATCAATAACAATAACAATAATAATAACGAAGATTACAATAACAATAACTACGCTATTACTGAGAGGGAAGAGAGAGGGGGGGGGTTTAGTTCTCGAGTATCGGTAGTTGGTTGATTGAGTAGTTGAGTGATTGGATGATTGGTTGGTTGTGGACTGATCGAGTTGAGTTTCTGACGAGTATGGATATAACATGGTTCACTCAAGTATTTTGCACTTGGTAGTTAGCTACGTATTTAGTTAGCCGAATGTGGTGTGGTAGTTAGTTAGCCGGGTATCCCTCTCCTCCCCATCCAGATCAACAATTTTGAACTTTATATATTATTTAAACCTTTTCCCTCGTCATTGAAAACTACCCGAGTAGTGATGTGCGGTAGCTAGCTAGCTTGCTAGGTTTCTTTCAGTAGTGTGTGCGGGGGTGTTTATGGGGGGAGGGGAATGGGGAATGGGGAATTGGTAGAAAATCAGTACCGGTAGTGATGTGACGATTCATTGCCTATCTACTAAACTATATATCTACCTACCATGACCTTTCCCCTGGTCCCTGCATCGAACCATCTAGTTTCCGGTAATTAGCTTTCTTACTAACTTTCTTTATCATAGTAGTGTGTGTATTAGTGTATGTGGGGATGTGTATGCGGGGATGTGTATTGGGGAAGGGGGAAGGGGAATTGCTGAAAAATCAGTTTAAGATGAAACATTTCCTACCTACCTACCTACCTATCAACGAGTATCCATGAAGACTTAGCCAGCGATGATCTTTTAGTTCTTGTACATTTGTCAACAAATTTTGTTTATCTTTATAACAGAAAAAGTGTAAATATCTTGTTTCCTCCATACTCGAGTATACTAGAGTACCTACCTACATCATAGGTTTTCGTTTCTTGTCTCTTCTCCATCGTATATACTACAATCTCAAAAATATATCTTAGCATACTTCAGCAACACTCAAGCATTTTGTATATCGATCTCTCTACATCACCATCACCAACACCACTGCCACACAAGAGACGATCTTAGTATCTTTTGCTGCTGGGAGATTAAGGGAATACATTGCCTTGCGGAGAAAATAAATAAGCAAGTCTCGCGACAAACAACATCACTCATATTATCTTTCTCTGTCTCTTGACAGACAACATCACTCATATTCTCTCTCTATCTCTCTATAATCTCACACAATGGCAACAATGACCACCAAGCCAAGAATGGAGAAGATGACGAGAATGTTCCGTGTGGACTCATGGTCAAAGTCACGTAAGGAGAAAAAGAACAAAAAAAAGATGTCAGAAACCAACACACAAGTCGCTAATGCAGGGGGTGGGAGTGGGGGTATTGATACCCCGCCTGATTATGCGGATCACACTTGGTCCGATTCAACAACCGTTAATATTGCTTCTTTGGCTCTTTCTCCTCCACCATCTCCACCACAGAGGGGAGATTTTAGCGATGAGGAAGAGGGGGGGATGATGGGTGAAGATGGAACACTTGACGGATATTTCCCACCAGACCCAACCATGCAATTCCAAGAAGAACCCTCTCAGATATTTCGGAGAGGTGTTGAAAAGAACATCCAACAGATTGTCGAGGGACCAGAAGCTCCAGCACCACCACAACGTTCGTGGTCCAAGGAGATTCACGAGGTTCACGAGACTGAATTGAATATGAATCGAATTGAACATGTGGAGTCAACTATGAGCGAGAAATCCAAAAGGAGAGCCTTTTGGAAGGGAAAGGGGAAAGATAAGGGGGAGGTAGTGTCGAACACCGATGAGAGTTCGCCTACTGAGTCGATGGAATTTGGAAAGGGAAAGAGGAAGGATGCTCAGTTTCCATGGGGACGGTGGCCAATGAATGGAAAGGAGAGGGAAACTGGGGAAGAGAAGGGCTGGAAGAGTTTTAGCGATGCGAAAAAGACAGAAGAGGGGGAAAATGAAGAGAAGGATGGGAAGAGGCGGTGGACAATTGATAGAATGCCACCTTTCAAGAAAGCTCCCGTTGTGGAGACACCTCCTGAAGAAGCTGCTGTTCATGTCATGGAAGCGATAGAAGTTGAAAGCGAGTCGGAACGACTGGAGAGGGAACATTTGGAGAGGGAGCAAAGTAAGATAGAACGAAGGGCGAAGTACCCTGATGCTGTGATTGAAGATGTAAGTTTTCACTCATCGGTTTTGTTTAAGTACAATTGTCATACAAAAGTGACTAATCAGTGCTCTTCTTCATTTAGTTCAAAGAGGAATTCCGCGTCCAAGGCAGTGATGTGTCAAACATGATGAATGGTTTTGTGGCGGCCGATCGCTATGCGAAGGCCCGGGCCGCCAGAGAAAATGCAGCTTGGAAGGCCAGACGTTGAGATCCATCCTCGCGGAAGGCCGGGAATAAAAACTTTGAAGTTTCTAAAACACCGCGCCTCCAACAATAAACACACGTTCTTCTTCGCGCTTGACCCATTGGATAATTTTATTGGCGCCTTGAGCCAAACCCGCGCGCGAAGCATGAGGACCAGCTACACAATAGAATTCAAATTGGGGAGTTGTCCAGGCAAGGGAGATGCTGTCGCGGGAGACGCAATGGAGGACTTTGAGATGGGAATGCTTTTTGTGGGTTGCGGAGTGTAGGTTTTGGTATCGGTTCATGAGTCTGAATATCGGGGTCAGTGGTTTGTGGCTTTGGTTGAGAATTGACGAATGATGTATGATGATATACCCTTAGTATATACTGGGCAGTATTGTAAAATAGACAGCTTTAATATATAATGGATATAAATGAAACAATCAATCTTACCTTCGACGATTGACAAGACTGTTGTAGTATGGATCGAATGATGGCATCGTGAATTGAACATTTGCTCGTGACTTGTAAAGAAAATGTCGTAACGGCGTTCCAGGAGCAATATCAGTTGTTTTTGGTCGTCCTTGACGAACGGCAGTTTTGATGATATTCATACTTCCATTTTTCTCGAGTTGGTTGACCACATCATCACGCATTTGCTTGAGATCAAAGAAGCTTTCCTTATCAGCGCTTATGAGTAGTACCGCGACTTCATCTTCTGTTCTACTCTTCTTGTGCTCGGAGACATTGTCCTCAACAGACTTGCCGTCTTCCACACTTAGGAAGCTCACGTACATGTAGAGGTATCCTCTATTATTGAATCCTGGAAGACATAGAGGAATCCAATTCTCGCCGCCTCCAGCTCGCACTCCGCCAGCCTCGAAGAGCATGTTGAATATGAGTTGGAGGTCGCTAGGATGTAGTGAGTGTCTTTTTGGGCGTATCACACTGACGAGTCTACCACCAGCTACAATTAGCCCGTAGAGAAGCTTGTCCGTTCGTGCTTTTAGAAGAGTGTTGTTTATGACATGGCGTTGGGACTTCCGTAGTTTTAGACATTCTAATGCAGATAATAAGGCAGAGGGAGAGCCTTTGGTGAAAGTGTCTGCAAGTGATGATAGCAATGATTCAGTTCCCTCTAAAGGTCTGCGGAGATCTGTATTCGGTCGATTCGAAAACAGATGTGTGAGAGTTGGCAAGGTCAAGGTTGACAGGATTTGCATGTATAACGCTTCAAGCTGGCCTTTTAATTGAGCATCGCTTTCGCCAAGTTTGCTAATAGCAACAAAGTATAGAGGTCCATCGGTTGAGATAACAAATCTTGTGCGACCTGCAGTAAATCCTGTGAGGGGGTCTTTTGAACCTTCGAAGAATGATATGATTGTCTGGATTATGCCAATGTAGCCATTGATAAGATTTTGATCTCCATGTCGACTGTATATAGGTTTTCCGGCGGAAGAAAGGATCAAGTAATGCTTGAGTTTTGACTTCCATTGTATGAGTAATTCCTCCTCGTTTCCACCCTTGCTATCGACTTCCTCTATTTCATCGAATTCACGGTCGAAATTTGCAAGAGAGTTATCCTCAAACTCCACTGTCTCATCAATCGATTGCCCATGATCTGCTTGCGAATTCAACAATATCCATGCCGGACTTTGCGCATTGAGTCCATCGTCAAGTAGACTTGCGAGATCCCCATTTGCCTTCAAGGTTGGCGCACAACTCATAAGGCTGGCATTATCATCGTTGTCGCTTCCTCCCCGGCTGACATTTTGGCTTGTTGAAGAAACTGATGACCCAGTACCGTGTCCTGGTACTGCTCCGGATACTGATCTACTAATTGGTGTAGAGAAAGTGCCTCTTGTGCCATCGGGAAACGCTAATGTCTGTATGTCGACTGGTGTCAATGCCGTGGTAGGTTTGGACTGTAAAGCCGGTCGCTTTGGACCTCCTGGAGTCTTTGGTCGTTCTGCTATGTGGAGAAGTGATGGTCTAGGGGGTAGTGGTGGTCTTCGCTCTTTTGTATCATCGTTAAGTGGGATATCATCTTTGCTTGTGACAACCTCGAGGGTCTTCGTGTCTACAGTCTTTGTAGGGCTATCGGAAGCACTATCATTCGCATCTTGCGAGGCCTCGGATCCATATTCCCCGGTCATCGCATCAGTCGCAGCATAATTGACCGTCGCTTTCGCAGAGGAGTTCTCTTCTTTGCTGCATGTGCTCGCTCGTTCATGGGGGAGTTGCATCCGAGAGGTCGGGAGAAACTCCCATGAGAAGTTCCCTGCGGAAAAAGGGATTGTTTAACCACCTAAGTAATAACAAACTCACATTAATTCTGAAACTGATTTGCATAAAGCACATTATTATGCTGTACTTACTTACTTGCTTGCTATAAATGCGAGTTATTTTGGACTTTTCGATACAGGGATATTCAAGGCTGTGAGTTATGCGGAAGGATGTAGGTAATTTAGCGACTTGTTGTCAGCCTTGGGGATTAGAATTAGAACAACACAGTTGAAAGAAGCCACGCGTATGTTATGAATTCTTGAATAAATTGCAAACAACAACAATCAAAAGATGCAAACCATCTTTGAATCTACTTTTGTGAAGTGCCACAAGAATCATGGCCCGTGAGCTCAGCTCTGGTCGTCAGTCAGTATCTCCTGCGAGCTCAGGAAGAGCATCACCAGTTTCAAGGAAATGGAGGAATCAGTTAGGTGGAGGTAGAGCTCCCAACTTTTATATTATCGCATGGCACAACTGATGTTCTGTAATAGATGAGCCTCCGAATAAAGATAAAGCATTCCGCAGATACGCATCTGGTGTCGATCGTTCACTCTCACTGTTTGATACAGCCTTACAGGAATGGGCGGATTATATTTCTTTTTTGGGGAGACTATTGAAGGTGTGTGGTCTCAAGAATGTGAATAAAAGGAATATACTGAGACAATAATCATAGTCATTACAAGCACATCCTACCAATGTAACTGCTGTCCCATCCAAAACGATTGTCGCAAAACGTCTTGCTCAGTGTTTAAACCCTTCACTGCCTTCAGGTGTCCATCAAAAAGCTCTTGAAGTTTACGGATATATATTCTCGATGATAGGAAAAGATGAGCTGTCTAAAGATCTACCCCTTTACCTACCGGGGTTATCGACCACCCTGTCATTTGCATCGCTCTCTGTGAGGGGCCCGTTTCTTGAACTTCTGGAGAAGCACTTACTCAAAGTTGACGGACGATCACTACGACCAGCTTTGAAAGCAATTATACTTGCTTTATTGCCTGGTCTCGAGGAAGAGAATAGTGACGAATTTGAACGCACATTGAAACTGCTCGACGGTTTCAAACATACTATTAGACCCTCTGGCACGGAAGACCTAGGGGAGAACCATCGTAGTGGGGACGAATATTTCTGGCAATGCTTCTTTCTTGCTGCAATAACGAGTAATGGCCGTCGGTTGGGAGCATTGGCTTACCTCAATCGGAATCTCCCAAAACTCGGACAATCGCCCTCAGGGCAGAGCAATCCGCCATCCAATGGGTCTCATAAGAATGACATGACTGCCAATCAATCTCAATTGGCTGAAATTGTTGCTTCGCCTGAACCTGGACTGCTTTTACGTTGTTTTGCTGCTGGTTTGGGGGACGAGCAAATCTTAATTCAGCGTGGGTTTTTAGATCTCCTTGTCACCCATTTGCCTCTACATTCGAATGTTCTACAGCAGCGAGTAAAGCCAGAAGATCTCGAGCTTCTCGTCACTGCCGCTGCTGGTGTTGTTACTCGACGTGACATGAGCTTGAATAGACGTCTATGGACATGGCTTTTGGGACCAGAACCAACTGGTCATGATAATGAGAATGGTCCAGAATCACCAACATCAGTTATTGGAGATCCTCTTGGCTCACATGCTTCTTCGAGGACACAGTACTTCGAAAGTCACGGTCTACATCCACTTACGCAAGCTCTACTTAAACTAATACGACGAGAAGCTATCAATCCTATTGAAAAGGCTCGACCATTTCGGATATGTCTTTCATTAATGGATCGATGGGAGATTGGTGGACTTGTCGTTCCAGATATTTTCTTGCCTGTTGTCAATAGCGTCCGAGGCTACAAGAGTAAGGCAGCAAACAAGGCCGACTTTGCTGAAGTTCTTCGAAGTGCTAGTGTCTTTTTTGATGGCGTCGAAAGTGGTCTAATTTGGGGTGAAATAGTCGGTTTGATTGCACAGGCATTGGCCCCTGAAAAGTTGTCAATTGAGGAGCAGATTGATAAACTGTCCCTCGTCACGTTCATAATCAACCACTTCAATGTACGAGAAGAAGAAATGCTGCTGATACACGCTCCATTGGCAACCTTGACAATATTAAGTATGCTGGAAGATGCTAAAGAAAGGATGCAGGAGCGCGCAGAGAAGGCCAGCGTGACAAGTGAGGTTGAACAGTTGGCTTTAAATCTTGTTATGGACTTGATCGATCTCATTCCAGAACGAGCCTTTCAAGTGCGGCCTCCCACCAGCCAGTCAATGGTCAAGCCTGATGAGGACGAAATCAAAACTCTTCCGAATATTGAAATTATACGCAGTATGAAAACGTTTTATGTTCAGGAGCAAGGAAATTTAGACGCATATCCGCCGCCGTTTTCAGCTCTTGATATAAGCGAATTGCTCGTTCGTGAAGGTGGCAGCATAGCTAGCGAGAGTTTGTCAAGTTCAGTGTCAAGTGCTGATGCTGGCGTCAAGACCAGGCTCCTTGTTATGCTACTTGCCAAAGTACCCAGGGTTGGAAGTCTTGACGTCTCAGGACTGCTAAAGTCTATGCAGATCAAATTGAGCATGCCATCTCAACTTCCGTTCACCGCATTCACATCTATCATATCTCTTTGCACGAGTCTTTACTCAAATCATTATATCTCACTGTCACAGCTATCCAGTTTCGTAGATCCACTCGTTCGTTTAGCTTGGTCATATCTTTCTGCTTCTCATCCGAAATACCATGTCGAGACTGTTCGAAGTCTTTGGCAATTACAGACAACTCTTACACTCGACAACCACGATATAGAAGCCTCGATATGTAGTTTGATGATAGAGCATGATTTGAATGGTACATATGCGTCTCGAGACGCCGACCCTGGACGGAGCTTTAGCATTTTGTGGACACACTCACTACAAGATAATGCCGGTCACCTTGACCGTCGAAGCTCAAACAATGATATTAAGAATATACCTCGACTTTCTGGTATTGGTAATTATGAAGTCATGCTTGCGAAGCCTCTCTTCATATTACTCGATGCTCTTCTTGATGAACGAACACAACTTTTCATGACTGTTAGGATTTGGCTGCAGAGTCTTGTTGGTATTGACAGGTACGTACGGATTGACATCACCAGAGAATTCTTGATTAATGGAAGTTAGGTTATTCCATCTTTTTGTCGCAAGGTTTTCGAGTTATAGCTTCCTTTATACAACATTCGAAGATGCTGGGACCACGGCGCATCACAACATGCGTATCTATGTAGATGAAGATGATATGGATCAATGTCTATACTACATTCAAACACTATCCAACGTATTACGGTGGTCTTCGGACAGCACATGGGCAGCCCTTGCTCACAACAGTATCTCTACTGACAAATCTCATCGCTCTCTATTTCAAATCAGTAAGCTTGAGTCGCTATGTATTAATTCTGTGCTGACAATATTGCAGCTGGTCGAGATGATGAAATCACAATCTTGGAGTTCTTTTTACATGTGTGCTTGCAAGCAATTTCGGGGACCTATGAACCAGAAAACTCGGAACGAAAACCACATATCCATCAACTCCATCGTACTGCTCTGACTCTCCTACACCAAATCCTATTGAGCCCATACTCTTTATCATTAGGGGAGCTTCAGTTAGAGCATGTTCTGATTCAGAGGCTAAGTCACTCTTTAACTGGACCGGATCCCTTTATTCAGGTTCTGCTCCTAGATGTTGTCTATGCTGCTCTAAAGATTCGACCTGTTGTCAACCTTCCGCCACCATCGCCTACCCTAAAAAAGCGCTCTACCACTATGACCTCTACCATGACTCAACATGACAATGCGTCCGTTGCTTCGCTTGCAATTGACCAGGGCGAACACACAGGACCATTCTTACCTCCCCCGCCACCTTCATTGGTGAAGTGCTTGCAGGCAGGGTTCAAGGCTGCTTCGAGTAGACCGGTCTTAGATAGTTGGGTCAGCTTCTTGACAGAATGTCTGCCGTTCTATTCGGATACGATTTTTCAAATCCTTATACCGTTGGTCGAAACATTCTGCTCACAGATTGGAGAAACCTTTACGAATCTCCAAACCACATTTAAAGAGCCGGGTATGGTATCTGAAGGCTCGGCGGCTCCAGAATCTACTTTGATCTCTCTACTCAACGGTCTTGAGTTCGTACTCGCAAAGGGGCATGATCGGCTATTAAAGGATGAAACTAAAGCACCCATTGCTAAAAGTCCCGACCAACCACAGGGATTTTTCGGAAATATGGTCTCTGGTGTTTTCAATTCGGAAACACCCCAAGCAAGAAGCATAACTGCCAATAACCGTCTGACTGTACTGCTCTCATTTCAAGACGCTGTTCGAATCTGCGTCCTCATATGGTCCTGGGGCGGTCAAGATGGAGCTCAGGATAGTGAATCTACTGCCTCCTTCAATTACACATCGTTGCGCATGCGGAATCGAGCTCGAAGACTGCTTGAGCATCTTTTCACCGCCGAGGCATTAGAATGTTTGGAGACGTTGGTCGAAATCGGTCAAAGGTCTTCCAAGGGCAGTGATGCTCGACCTACGGCTATCTTCAATCTCCTCCATGTTCTTGATGGTTCAAGACCAAAACATACCATTCCCGCGATTTTCAATGCCATATATAGCAGAACGAACCCGAACGCATTGGATCCGTCAAGAAAGTCGACCTTGACATCCTCATTAAGTGACACGGACTTGGTAACCTTTCTGGTGGAATATGCAAGATCGTTAGAGGATGATGCCATGGATGAGATTTGGATTGATTGTATGACTTTCCTGAAAGATCTATTGGCAAATCCATTCCCACATCGACAAACTCTCCCGAGTCTTTTGGAATTTGCCGCCATTCTAGGAGTGAAGGTTGATAATACCAATTTCGGGGAGCAGCGTCGGATGCGAAGAGAATTAGGAGTGAGTACAAATCGACTTTTGATGAGAATATGAACTAAAATAAACCAGGATCTCTTCCTTCGACTACTTACCGCAATGTTCACAACGAGACCTATGGGATTCTCCGAGAGTGTAGAGAAGTTAACAGAAGTAGATCAGCGACCTTCATCATCTCGCCCTTCACAGAGAGCCGATGATGTCGTTGGAATTCTAGCATCTATCGCACCAAATTTGCCTAAAATTCTCGTTGAGAATGATCGAATACTAAATGCGGCGAATACCATCTCGTCGAGTGTCATTGGACCAACATTCAAGTCCAGATCATTTCCGGATAACGTTTCGAAGAGCACTTTAGAACTACTATACCAGCTTTCTAGACTTCCTAACACGCAAAAGTCATGGCGAAAGGATCTGGGAGATGCATTCAATGATTCTCGTTTCTTCGCAAACAACGTAAGTCTCATTGAAAGTGATTGGCTGCCATTACTCAGACAGTGGACATTGAGCGACAAAGAACGAATGCCAGAATTATTATCACGATTAGTCGCACCCTCTACGGCTGGTATTGTGTTCGGTGTTGGGGCAACGTCAGCACGCTTTGAGGCAGACAGAAAATCACAACTCAATCTCCGCCGAATGGCTACCTTAGTTCTCGCCACCATGGATGATAACTTTGTGACCGATCTCCCTGTCATGCAAGAGAAGATTGTGGAACTCCTGTCCGCAACCCCAACATCCTCTCCTTCCTCCACTACTCGCGCAGATATTTATCTCCTTCTCCGGGCTCTCGTTCTTAAAACCTCGGCTATTCATCTCGCAACCCTGTGGCCTATCATTAACGCCGAACTCCACGTTGCTATTTCATCGGTTGTGGCACCTGATCATAGTACCCCTTCCGACACGTACAACAATTGCTCTGTATTGCAGGCATGTAAACTATTAGACACTTTACTCTGCATCGCACCCGACGATTTCCAACTCCACGAATGGCTCTTCATAACCGATACCATTGATGCCGTCTACCGCCCCTCTTCCTTCAGACCCGTTTCTCTAGTCGACGAATTGAGCGAAGAATTGGGTCTAGCGACAACCACAAATACATCCGCATTACAAGAATCTTCTTCAGTTGCAGTTTCTCAAGCAGCTAAATATTCGATGAGGAGACCTTTGTTGGGGAAGATGAAAGGTGGATTTGGAATTAATGATGAGGGGACTTGGGAGAGGAAGGATGAATTAGTTGCGAAGGTTTTAAGGCCATTTTTTGGTCAGTTGAGCATTTTTGCGTTTGAGAGTACGTATGGAATGGGTGCGACGGATTGGGAGGCTTGTAGACAGGGGTTATTGAGAGATATTTTTGATGAGAGGAGTATTGTTAAGGCGTTGTGATGACTGATGGCGATCAAAGGAGGTTTGATTTATTCTGGGCGGGGGGTGATGGGGCCATGGAGGGTGGTTGGGGTTAGAGAAAATGGTTGAGATTGATATCTGAGGGGCGTTCAGAATTCTTTTGTTTATCGGGAAAGAGAAGGGGTGGTGATATTTTATGATGAGGGGGTGAGTGCGTACGTGTGTGGTCTTGATTCAAATAGTTGCGCGAGATGAGATGCAGAGGATAGAAAATATACAAGGAATTTCAACATGGTTATATTGAGGATATCTCCAGCATGCGGTGTAGCATCGCATCCGATCATATCGTGAATATGCGGTATTAGAGGTATCAAAATACAAGAGATCTCATAAAAAGTATTAGAGATATTGGGGAGTTCATGTTCTTGGTAGAGAGAGGAGGGGAGGGAAGGGGGAGTAAGCGTAAGTATAAAAGGAGGGGTATGAGTTGATATGTTGTTTTGATATATATAGTGTATAGTGAGTGGATAGTGGATGGTGGATAGTGGATGATGTCTTGATTCTTCAATCTTTTTGGGGGTGCTTGGAAGTTGGCTATTGTTGTTGTGTGGATTGTGGATTATGTGGATTATGTGGATTATGTTTTGATGGCTTGATGGTATGATATTGCTGGTGGTATGGTGTGGTATGGTGATATGTATGAGTTGATGCATGGTGGTGATATAGGTAGGATATAGGATATAGGATATAATTGGTGAGTGGATTCGTGGTAGAATCAGTAGATTGTAGACAATAATATCAATAAAACAAGTTGAAAATGAGATGTTTTCCTTACCCGCGCCGCTTACTCGAGTATAAGTCTAGATATCTAATAAAAGATGTGTTCTCCAATGCTATGCATTTTAAGCTTAATAATAATGATACGCGGATGCTGGAAGTAGATGTAGGTGTAGGTGTACTGCAATCGTTTTGCCAGATGGTAGGTAGGTGTCTAAAAATTCATTCCTCTTCAGAGTCTGCAGAAAGACACAGGAAGTATTTATTCAAAGAAATCTATATCGTATATCGTATATCCCAGAGAAGAAGAAACCTCATTTCAGTGGCCGTCATTCGCATTAGATTAGTAATTAGTAATAAAAGTCTCAAGTGATACATCACACGTACATCAGTAGCAACTAGCTGCCCTGGTAGCAGTCATCACATCACGCATGCTGATTTCGATTCTAACCTGATGCTTCAAGCTTATTTGTTTGTTTGTTTGTTTGTTTGTTTGTTTGCTTATGTTTGCGTTTGTTTTTGTGTGTTATACAAATAGAATTCAATAAAGAATTTACCTACTCGAGTATTACGATTGTAATCATAACTACAAGTGAGGTGTTGATTGAAGTTGATTTATGTAATAACTTAATACTTGAATATTTGAGAAAGGTAGATAGATATACTCGAGTATAATCAGTCTGCATTGCATACAATTTGGATTCGAGTAGAGAGGACCCGTTGTATATAATGTCAAAGAAGGCCATAATGAATCTTGTAAGAATGAGGAAATGGGGGAAGGAGAGTAAGCAAAAAGTATATATAATTAGCCTAAACATATAAAAGCATTTACCTAGCTCTTTGTATCTTTCATATTTGTTTCGTTTTAGAGAACACTATATATATATTGTAGTTCAGTGCAACGAATTAAAGTCAAAGTGATTGTGGTAATTGACTGAGTTGTCCACTTAGGTGAGTCTAATATACTAGCACTCATAGTGCTCAAAGGCTCAGGCTAATTTATCTAATTTGTGCTAAGTTCTAAGAGATTCGTGAATGGGGATAGGGATAGACCGTAGACGAGCCCCCATATCTGCTTATCATAAGCAGATGTTGAACTCGCAAGCCTTTGGAGGGGTGGGTGGAAAAATTCCTGGGCAGTCTTTTAAAGAACTTAAAATGCAAGAGAAATAGGAAAAGAAAAAGCACGAGCACGAGGACAAAAATATGAATTAAGAAATGTTGGTTAGGGACTATAATACTATACTGAAGATTCTCTTTCGAACTTGAACTTGAACTTGAAGTGCAGAATGTGTGAATGGAAGAAAGGAAGACAATACAACTAAGGGAATGAGATTGCGATTGGGATTGATGTATGCTAGTCAATGAATAATAATATCAAGATGTGACAGTGTATCTAATTGCAAAACAAATATCGTATACTACAATAGCGATCTCGTCTCCGATGAATCAAAGAGGTTATATACACTTGGCGGCATATTCATCCAATACAGTGTACACCCGGCTGTCTAAGTCGCCACGAAAGCGACATCGGCATCGGTATCGATATCAGTCTTATTAAACTTGTGGTTGCAGAGATGAGATGCTTAAGCTACTCATGAAAGCTCAATGGATTGGAAGCACAGTCAGAGCCAGGAACTCATCTCAAGTTGCGCGGGCGGTTAATGTCAGAGTGCCGTGCAAGTGAACAAGTGAGCTGAGAATGGGATGATTGAGGTGATCATGATGTGATGTGATGAGAATAGGAAGGGGCAGGGCACAAGCACCGATGACAATGACAGACAACAAATCATAACCTCTCATGAGACCACCAACCTGCAAACCTACTCACATTGAGTGCTTGTCCCATGCTCACCTGAATGCAACGATCGACTCGAATGCCTTGTCATGTCATGTGTGCCCAAATCCTACTTTCAAGACATAACATAACGTATGGAAGCATTATGACAGGATCACAAAAACCCCAATCGTTCCTCAGTCTTCCAAGTTTCCACAGGAAAGGAAACTTTACCCTCGTTACACCCATCACTCATCACCCATCAGGGCCATCACCCACCACTCATCGGAGAAACCGTGTGCGATCTTCGCAGGATGCAGGATAACTTTCAATTTCATCTGCCCCACCAAGCGCTTCCAACTTGGAGATTGCTCATCTCTCCTCATTTCATCAACCTTCCAGAAGAATTCGCGCACTCATTTGGCATGGGAAATATCCACCGAGATCCTTCACGTTCATTCATCCCTACAATCAACGTAATGTAAAGCTATGACTACGACGAGACAGAAATAGCTTCGCTCGACATGGCGAGCATACCAACGACACCATGTAATGTACTGTAATGTAACTTTCTAGGCGAAAATCAAACTGAAGTCTCAAGTACTGGCCAAGAGGATGTTATGTTCGTTCTTCAGAATATGAAGCAATTACAGTATGCTGCATGTTCAAATTTCCATCACAGATTCACAACTACACAGCCTCGCTGCCCACGCACGAGATGAGTATTTGAAATCTTCCCCATCCTCTTGTTCTTGTGAATTTTGTGGTCGGCGAGGTTGCAACGTGCCTGCCAGCCAGTCTCCAGTTGTTTGGAAACCCAGTCACACTTACTTATCTTATACCCTAGACACACATCGCATCTCCCCTTTTTCTGCATCCCACATCTTTTTGCGATTTCATATGGAGTACATTCAAGACTCCAACTCTGTGAATTGATATGCTGGTTTTCCACATGGGCAATGGGGGATTGGAGTATCCACCTGCATGTGGAGTTACTGATATGTATGTATGTATGTATGTATGAAGTATGTACACATCAATTAGATCTTTAACTGGGTATCAAAAGCAAATGACAGCATCAAAACGTCTCCCCTACCACATGTTTTGTAGTCACGAGATAGTATCATTATCGACCAACCAACCAAAGCCTGGATAGACAGCCTCGGTGGAATCCTCGGTGCTACCGCCATTTAAGCTCAATACCCCCTCTGTAATCTATTGCTCCACCCAAAGTAGACTGATCGACACCTGCTTCTTCCCTTTTCCGGAAATCATCAACAGGAACAGGAGATGAGACATTACTCTTTTCTTCTTTCCCATCCCTGATACATGCTCACAGGAAATCTACAACAAGGTATCCGGAAATATGGGGAAAACTAAACTAAACGGCATGACTGAAGCCACGAGTCGTTTAGTCGTTAGTTGTTCAGCGGCTGAACGACTCGTGGCTAATCTCTTCGCACGTCCCCTTTTCTACTCATGAAAATTATATTGTCCCCAGCAAGCAAGCAAGCAAGCTGTGCACTTGGGCTGCTGGAAATATACAGCCGGGCCCCTACTTCAAGGTCCTAACTACCCAAAACTTTTTCATTAGGGTTTAAGGGAAAACGATGAAACAGCTAGGTAATCTCAATTCGATCTTGTAAGCAGGGATTAAGTAACTTTTTGGCATAGACAGGGTAGGAAATGGAAGAAGCTGAGGCCCCCAAATTCATATCAGCAGGGCGCCCACTCTTCGGCATTTGAGGTTTGGTATTGAAATGGGGACGCTATACTATGCTATGGAGGAACTAGGGTAGAAATTGAATGAAATATTGAACAAGAAAGGAGAATTTATTTCAAAGACTGGAAAGAATGGGGCGACGACGACAGGCATTTGATTAGGTTGGGTCAACCAGAGCCAGGGTACGATCTAGGAGATTGTTGATCTTCATAAACCATACTCGGCGTTGGTGGTGTTGACATGGGATAGTTACCAAAAGGGGAATTGTGGTGAATATGTAACAGCCCATGGGATTTCGGAAAATACTTTTGGTAGTACACACAGTAGCTGTAGTGATGGCCCCAAGGATAATGCAAATCCTTTAGATTGACAGTTAGTTAGTTGGTGGTTGCATCTTTGAGCGGGCAACACGTGCATACATACATGTACGGTGTTATTTTTGATCCTCAAACAAGCCTTTTGATAAGATTGGAATTATCAACTTTGGGAAGTTTTTCCAATACAGAATTGCATGGCGTGCATGGTGGGTGTACGTACTCGAGTAGACTCTATAGAGAAATCCTTGAACTAGCAAGTTGAGAACCATCGATTCAAAAATCCCAAAAAAGATCAACTCAACTGCCGTGCCGTATCTATGCCGTATCTACAACTCCTAGTTTCCTACGCAGAAATCTATACAGTACAGTACAGTACTGTAAATCGTATCTGCAGGCGCGGCCAGGAGATTTAATTCTAATTTCCTAGCTCAATCCTCAATCTGGG